AGTTTTACAGAATAAACCTTCTTAATTATCAGATAATATTTTCTTAAATGGTAGAACAACTTCTTTTATAATATCTCTTCAGTATTGACTCTCATCGTGCCCATGATTCTAATGTCAGTATCCATTCAAGAAGCTATACTGCCTTAATAACAGTATCAAAGCAGGATAGTAGCTGTTAACTACAATTTAATTACCAAGCCATGCTCATGAACTTGAGCACTCCTTGGTGCTGCACATATCTGTAGTAATTCCTCTGCACTTGTTCATGAGATAGAGCGTTTTATAGTCTTTTGATTGATATCCCAGCTTCCTTTGTGAGCACCTGACCTTTTACCCCAGATTCCTCATAAAGTTCAACCTATAAATCCTTCCTGTGCTTAGAACTGGAATCCTTACATCATCATCAGGTAGGTATGCCTTGTACTACCACGCCTGTAGAGATCATTTTAAGCCTGGCTACCAATTATCAGCTAGAGCTGTTGCTATGATTATGCAATATGTTTTACACTGTCGAACTGCAGTCTCCCCATACCCATTAAAGGTCATCACTCTAAAGTTGGGTACATATAAACAACACAACCAGAAACTTCAATCCACGCTTGTCAATCTGCTTGTACCTTTTTAAAAATATCAGATATTTTTTTCATTTGATTGGTTTTGCACAGACTTTATTATTATTATTATTATTATTATTATTATTATAGTTTATCAAGAACTAAAGGGATTTAAGATTGTCATATGCCATTGTGTATACCTTCTGTCTTCCTGTGACTTTGTATATATATGTGTGTGTGTGTGTACACAAACAACACACCCAATTACACCTGTTAAAGTCACCATTCAGACATTTGAACAGGGGTGGCACCAAGTGATCACAGCTACTAAGAGTTGGATTAAGGAACAATTGAACTAGGGTTTATAGCTCAGCTGTGCCATTTGCAAGTTGAATCTGCCTGAAATTTTTACTTCTAATCTATAAAATGGAAATAATCTTACTACTTGTTCTTAGGGCCATTGTGAGGTAATGACAGCTACCACTTATTAAGCCTTTACTGCTTAAGTAAGTAAGCATGTAGCATAATGTCCGAAACATGCAGAGAGCTCTGTAACTGGTAGCTTTTATTACAAGTATTTTAATACTAATAAAAATGATAAATGAGGTAACTGATTTTGATACATTGAATCTCTTTTAGTAAATTTTAAAAAAAGGTTTAAATAGTATCTCACAATGCCAGTAGAAGTCTCTAACCTCAAAGAACTTACAAAGTCAAGACTATTTAAATAATTAAATGGACAATTAAAAGGTGCAATTAAGAATACAAGCCAGAAACCAAAAGAGCATTGAGAGACTGGAGGTGGAAAAAAAAAGAATACAAGCCAAACTGAAAGAATGATAACAGCACAAAGTTCATTTAAAACGTAAGAACAGGTGGTAAGTACAGCTAGTTGCCCATAAGAAACTGGCCATAGTGGTGGGAAATAGATATTTCCTTCTATTACATGCTCTTTTATATTCTTGAAATATGCTTGAATGTACGTATAGTTCCTTTCACAATGTGCGTTTTTAAACAAATGGAAGAGAAAATGTAAAGAAAGATTTTCATTGTTTGAAAATAGTATGCATTTTCCAGACCTACTCAAATTATACAACCTTATTGCAAGAAGATATACACCCTATAACGATCAAGATACTGAGCATGTGCTCTTCTAATTTTTCTTATGATGGGAAAAATGTAAAATTTGGAAATTAATATATATCTCTTCATGAGTAAGAAGGGTCAGTATAGAAAAATTCCTGAATTTTCTCTGAAGTTTTTAGTGGGTATTACAATGTGTATCCAGAGAGTACTCACTGGGTTCAAACATTACATGGTTGAATTCTTGTGACCAGGATGGGCTATGTATTTGAGGAGGTTCAGTGCAGAATGAATATACATGGGTTCTTTCCAAAAATTAAGAATTTCAAGAGGATGACGGCAGAGCATGAAACCAAGCATGAATGAAATCCTTTTGAGTGAGGGGCCTGGGTGACTCCATAAGTTGTACACCCATGACGCAGGTCTTGTTTGCAATACCCTTGTGAGAAATAGATTCCTATTCATATTTTACATATAAAGAAGAAAAAAATCAAAACTCTGAAAGTATTGCCAGCCTGCCTCAAATGTTACAGATTGTGAACTCTGAATCTGGTGTTTGAAAATTGTGGAGCCTGACTTAGGGACCTCCACTTTAAATCACTGTAAAAGGAAATAGCTTCCAAACCTAAAGACAAATAATTCTAAACTAATTCTTTTCCATTTTTAGTAGCTAGTTAACTGATAGATCAAGGGGATAATATTTAAAAACAAACATATCTTGTTTTCATGAAGATTTGCTTGCAATTATTTCGCATACCTGTATTTTTCATATGGAACTCACCTTATTTCATAGTTATTGGTGTGGTTGTCACCTTCACTACTATATTGTGAGATATGTAAAAATAGAGATTCCATTGTATTCATTTCTGGATGTCCTGTAGTGATATATACTTATATATCTGATATAATACTGCTATAAATATTGTGACTAAGGTAATGAATAACTTCTGCAATTTTAGATTGCTTTAATGGAATGTTATGTCCAAAGCTAGAAAATCTAGGTTTTGGAGCACCAGTCAGATTAAATCTAGTTCTAGAAAGTGTCCGGTATTACAGAGCTTGTAAATAAGATTTATCAGAGTCATGGTTATGAAGCCTCAGAACTTTAAGATTGTCAGGTAGAAACAATACTCACCTTACTCTGTGATGGTTCAGGGATCAAAACAAATTTTATTTTATTATTGTATTGTTATTCATTTACTTTTTAGGCTGCAACCAACCAGGCATGGAACCTGTGCCTCCTATAGTAGAAGCACAGAGTGCTAACCATTGGACCTCCAGGGAATTCCCAAAGCAAACTTTAAATTAATGAAGTCAAAATAATGCAGGCTTCCACTAGGTGTAAAGATCTTTGCCAATGGGAAAATTAGCTGCCATACTCAGGAAGGAGTTGTCTGTTTCTGGGAGTAGTGAATCCTGTAGTAAAGAGGTTATACTCAGTGACCTCCATAATCCCTTCCTGCCTATATTTTTAATGATTCTAACAGATAATTAAGTATATAAACTACTATATAGTTTAAAAATATTACTTTGAAAAAATTAAATCCTCTTGAAATCCAACTTAAAAACTCTGTGTTCAGGACTTCCCTGGTGGTCCAGAGGTTAGGACTCTGTGGTTTCACTGCAGGGGGCAGGGTTCAATCCCTAGTCCAGGAGCTGAGATCCTGCAAGTCACATGGCTCGGCCAGCAATCTTCCCCTAACCATGTCCCCTCCCTCCCCCAAAAAACTCTGTGTTCTTTTTGGTCAAAGGTAAAATTAATTTGATCATGCACTTGTCATTTCGTGTTGAGTTCAGTTAGGCTTGAGGTTCTATTTCAAGCATTTAAAAAAACCATGCTCCTCTCTGCTTTCATTTTGACATAACTTGTCAGTAGACTATATAATTATCATTTGAAGCTCAGTGATTGATTCTAAATAATGTATCTATGGAGATCTTAGAGAAGATAAAATCTGTGCTTGACACATGTAGAAACATGATATCTCTTAATGTCTTTTTTTTTTTTAACTATTTAGACTATCAAGATGGTACTCCCTAAGGCCTTGGCATTTGTAACAATATGGCTTGCGCAAAGGGTGGCACTTTTAAAATGCATTTGTCAAAAGCATTTTTGCATAAGACATCATGACAAAAGATTTCATTACCACATGCCAATTCCTGTTTGGAAGCTAAAATAAGATTATGAGGCTTTCCTGATTGCCTTTTATTGAAGGAATTGGTCATCATGTGTGAGGCAGGGAGGTTCCACCAAACCTTTTCCTTATCTCTTAACAAATTTCAGGGAAAGCAGTCAAACTAATCTTGGCCCCAACCAAATGCTTGGCTGCATGCATGTCAAGTACCTGTGAGTGGAGCCAAAGCAGGCCTGTTTTGGTCTCCTTGGATATAGATCTTCAGAAAAATTTGGATTACTAGAAGTGTCATGATTAATATCACAAGAGATAACTTTTTAGTCCTCATAACTGGAGGACTGTGAGGCAGAATTGGTGGTTAAGGCAGGAGAGTGTCTCACTGTGATTTATCAGTCTGGTAATGACTGTGTACTGAAGGGATGACCTCTCATGATGGGTCACGAAACATATTATTCCAAAGAATTTTGATCTATATCTTAGAAAAAAGAAAACAGCAACAACAACAAAAACTTTTTAAGGTCTGAACACAAAGTTAGTATGATTCTAAACTGAGAAGATTCGAATGCTAATTTTGGATACTCAAATTTTTTAACTTAATCCCTAATTTAAATCAAGAGTAGTATGCTTTTAGCATTTGAAGAACATTCAGCTTAAATGTATTTCTAGACTGATCACCACTTGATATTAACCATTTGTTATAATTTAAAAAGATCACGTGCTTGATTAAAAAGTAATTTGTTACACAGTTCAAAGAATTTTGTCTCAAAATTTACAGACTATAAATAATCATATATATGAAAACCAAAGATGCATTCAATGAACTGTTTAATAAACATGTCGAGTGAGCCAGGAGTGAAATTGGTGCTGGAATACTTTAGCAAAATTTATGTTAGCATCGTGAACACTTTAAACAGCATGTCTAATTAAATGTCAGAATGACACCCTAAATTTTCCTCCTTTGCCCCCTTTATTTCCCTTAGCTGGACCAATAAATTGAAGAGGTACTAAGTTTTCTCCTGGTTTTGAGATTACTTGCCTTTGTGATTTCAGTCAACATAACTTAAGTCAGATAAAACAATTTGATTTGGGTTCAATATGGTGCTATTTTGATCTGAAGGTCAATTTACAAACAAGCAGGAACAGTTTCTCATTATTTTCTTTCCCTACTCCGAGCAGTCTTTACTGAAGTCTTTCAAGCAATGTGTGACCTCTGTTTCAATACTTCTTGCAGATTTCACAGGCTGTCACCACCACTCAGCCATCACTAACACAGACAACTGTAATGGAAACGGTAACTATGGTGACCACGAGGGAGCAAATCCTGGTAAAGCATGCCCAAGAGGAACTCCCCCCACCACCTCCCCAAAAGAAGAGGCAGATTATTGTGGATTCTGAAATTAAGAAAAGGTGAGAAGCTCTTGCTCATGGCTTTATCCTCAAGCAAGAGTAATTGTTAAGAAGGAAAACTCATTTACAGCTGTTTTGATGGCAGTGTTTTTACTTAGTTTTTCCAGAAGCCTCGGGTGTCTATAATGTCAGTTAAGTTAGTGGGGAAAATTATGAAGTAAGTTGTAAAATTTCTTCAAGCAATCCCTGGCCCACCAGAAACTGAATGCTTAATGGAAATGTGAGTTTTTTTCTGGATTGAAAGAAGAAACTGCAAGTGATGAACTGCCATGGATACAGTTTATCCTGAAAGTTTCCTTTTTTTCTAATCAAGAGCCTGCTTATTCAGTGCTACTTTTGCATTAAATGCCTTTTCCCAGTAATGGAAAGGACATTTTCATGAGGAAGAAGTACACCTATAATAGACGCGATCCATTCTGTTAGTTTACGAGAACATAATGTCTCAATCTGCGCATCCTAAATCAGGAGTAATTACAGAACAGATTTCCTGTTCTTTGATATTTATAAAGTCTTATCTTGAAGGTGTTAGAATTCTTAACTGATCTTTTTGTGGATATTCTCAACTAGACATTGTAGATAAGGTATTATGTAAATTCATAGATATATTAAAAGGGGAATAAAATGTCATAAATGCAAAAGCTAGCATGAAAATCAGAAAAATGGTACAATTTCCTTTTCATGCCAATTATTATAATTCTAAGATTAAGAAAGAACATTAAAATCGGCCTTACATTTCTAAGCAACATATGTTGGGGAACGCATGGAACTTGACACTAGAATCTGTGTATACAAGGGTAGGGAAACATGAGAATAACATGTACGTAAAAATAGTGTCAGATGTTTTAGGCAAAGGAAGAAACACCGGGAGAAGTTTTAAGGTACATCATTTGGGACTTTCAGTGTTGTGGTGTAGTTGCTAAGTTGTGTCCTACTCTTTTGTGACCTCATGGACTGTAGCCAGGCCACTGTGTCCATATTTCTGAGGCAAGAATTCTGGAGTGGGATGCCATTTTCCTTCTCCAGGGTCCCCAACCCAGGAATCAAACCCCTGTCTCCTGCATTGGCAGGCAGATTCTTTACCACTGAGCCACCAGGTAAGCCCTGGAACTTTCAATACTTCCCTGTTAATCTGTGACTTATAACCTACTTTCACAATTCCACAGTACACTACAGGGCTTTTCTCCCTGGTTGGAGCTGCTTGGCTGAGCGAATTCTCTTGTCCAGGGCTCAACAAATTAAAGCCAACAGGCTCAGTCCAGCCCACTGCTGGTTTTTGTATGGCCCGTGAGCTAAGAACTGGTTTTACATTATTAAATGGTTGAAAATAACCAAAAGAATTTCATGACATGTGAAAATTTTCTGAAATTCAAAGGTCAGTGTCCCCAAGTAAGGTTTTATCGAAGCAACATCAGACTCATTCTCCTATGTGTCATCCTTGGTTGCTTTCATATCACAAAGGCAGCGTTGGGTAGTTGTCACAGAGAGTATATGACCTATAAATCTGCAAATATTTACAATCTGCCCCTCATTGGGAACATTTTACTCAAGCTTGTTCCTATCAGATGGTTCTCGAATCTTTGAATATTGGCATTCTATGTGGGATGACAACTTCCAAGAATTCTGCTCATGATAGCGGTTGAAATTTTAACATTCATTGGTGGAGAAAGAGTGTGACAGCAAAAATAAATCAGTAAAGCTCTTAATGAATTTGCCTTTTATTAATCTTAATAGCATGGCTATTAATTTGATGCCTTGTTCAATATATGTCTACAGACAATGCCTCGTAGGCACATGGATTTATGGGTCCTTTGAAACAACCTAACAGCTTTCCAACAAATATCCAAGCAAAACAATATGGAAACCCAGTTAACTTACCCTCCTAATGTGTTCATGACCCTCCTAATACGGATATTAACAGAGCAGGTTGATTCCTACTTATCTCTATCTTCAAAAGCTTCTTCTTGGTTCCTGTATTTGGTTAGGATAAATGTGTTCTGAGCATTTTTTTGTTTTCAAGAGAGTATGACTAAGTGGCAAAATGTTTTGTCTCCTAAATTCTGTTTGTATTGTATGCTCTCACGAGTTTTTTTTTAAGTTCTTTGAACGACATGTCCAATTAAGAACATAAAGGATATATTATTTAAATAAAAACTGACATTTATTGAGGATTTTATTATGTACTCAGCACTAAATTAAATGCTTTATTTACATAGCTCATTTATTCTTCCCACTCACCCTACCAAATAGCTATACCTACCAAATAGTTATGGCTATTATTACTATTACACATAGCTTCAGAGTGCCTGAGCCAGGGTTTCAGCTGAAGCAACCTGACTACAGAACCTGGACTGTGTAGCTAAATGCTTCTTTGGTAGATAAATGACCAAGGTGATCTTAGGTCTCTGTTTGCCTGAATCATCACAAATTATACCTTTTGTCCCAGCTTAATTATCTAAAGTACCAACTTTCACTCTCAGATGTGTCCTGATTTGGACAGTAGGGTAACAGAGACACTCTGTGTAAAAGTCAAGATTGACCCTTTTAGACTGAACAAAGACAGCAAATGAGCAGACATTTAGGCGCAATTTTCTGTTAATTGATAATTGTCTATAGGATGGGAATTGGTTGAAATATTGTAAGAGTTCCAGAGGTGTCATGCACACATGACTGAAAACATCATGGTTTAAGCCCAGTGTCTTGTCTGTTTGGTGGTATCTGGGGGTGAGGTGGCAAGTATGCGTACGTATGCATGTGTGTGAAATCATAACAAATCAACACCGTGTACCAGCCCTTTCTTTGTTGAAACAGATCACAACAGCGACAGAATCCCGTGGATCTGCTTCCTACAGATCATTGTTAGATATTTAACATTTTTGTATCATGGAAATAAAAAAAAATGAAAAATGTATTTCCGAAAGATGAAAATTAAAGAGATTTTCTTAGGATTCTGGGTTTTTTCTTTTCTCTTCTTTTGTAAGTAAATGCCATACTTAATCTCTATATAAATGTATTTCTCTTTAAAGATCACCCCAGAAAAAGCTCTGCAAAGTTTCCCAGGTGAGAACTAGTAGTGTTTAACTGCCAAGACTGTAGTGTCGACAACCTATTGAATGCTGATTGAAAAAAAAAAAGATCTCTTTTTTCAACTTCTTTGACACACTACTGTTCTACCCCTACTATTCTTTACCTGACTTGCTTTCTTCCTTTTCTTCCTTTTGCCTAATTCTTATGGTAGTATCTCATAAATTCAAATCTTTTTGCCCTTCTGACTTCTTTATCTGAATTACTCCCTCTCGATGATTCAAGTCTGACTCTCAATGAATGATTCCCAAATTTTATAGCTTCATATCTGACTCTTTCCCTCAGATTTTACTTTCTATCTTTAAATCTATGATCTGGGTGCTTCTACTACTGCATCCAAGCAGTGCTTCAGTTTTTATCAATTGCAAACATTTGTTGCCTCCAATTACCCACACCTAGTTACTCAGACATTGCACACATATTTTAGTTATTATAACTCATTTGTCTGCATGCCTAAAGAAGTAGCAAATATTGGAAAAATCATGGACTTTGGAATCAGGATTACTCAGGTTTGAAATCTGCCTGTTTTAATCACTAGCTTATGATTCCAGCAAATTATCTAATATCTGTGCCTCAGATTCAATATCCTCACTTTATTGAACATTGACTGTGAGGATTAAGTGAGAAGCATTTAATACAGTTGCCTGTAAGGTAGTAAGAATTCAACAAGTGCCATAGCTAGTGGTCTTGCTTGCTTATGTTAATGCTATGGAGGTAGAGGCAGTGGTGGAAATGATGGTGGTAATTGAGGTAGTGATGATAGTGAAGATGATGGTTGGTAGAGAAGGTAGAGATGCTTATTATGAAATTTCTTCCCCCAATAGTACATCCTCTGAAGCTTACTAAACGTAACAGAAAATTGACTTTTCATCTTCTTCAAAACAGAATTTACTGTCTGACTTCTCCATTTCTGTTCTTTACTTTTTCCTTAATTATTATTATTATTACACGATATTATTGGGCAAGTGCCATCATTTAAGCCATTTTCCAAGCATTCTGTCAACACCATGCCTTAAGCCGTGTACCTCCTTGTGGCCAGATTTGCCCCTCCGCTTTCTGATTAATCTGCCTTCAATTAATGTGCCTAAAATGTTGCTTTTATGCTGACCCTCTTGGCTTGAGATCCCTATAGCTCCAGTTGTCTCCACAATAAAACACAAATTCCTCCTTATGGTATAAAATGTATCTCCCACCAATTTTATGCATGTGTGCTCAGTCATATCTGACTATTTGTGATCCCATGAACTGCAGCCCGCCAGACTCCTCTGTCCATGGGATTTCCCAGGCCAGAATACTGGAGTGAGTTGCCGTGCCCTCCTCCAGGGGATCTTCCCAACCCAGGGATCGAACCCACGTCTCCTGCATTGTAGGTGAAGCCATCAGAGAAGACCAATTTTATGCGTAGCTGCCCCTGAATCTTTCCACTCCATCCAGTATGTTACATTCATTTTTTGCTATATGCCTCAGTGTCACCCATGTACAGTTTTTCCATCACCAATCACAACAAAGGAATCTCGTTATCAGATTTTTTAATATTTTATGTAGATTTCATACATAGTACCATATATATAATAAATGATCACAAATATTTGTTGAAAGTAATAGAGTTCCAATTAATTGTGATGACTAAAATCTTATTTTTCAGTAGCATTTAAATAATTCCTTCTACTTCTTCATGGATTTTTTTAAACAACAAACAAATGAGCATTCTGATAATCTTTAATATTATAATTTCACCCATTAGGACATCATTATTTACTCAAAACTATTAAGGGATTTAAAATTCAGCTTTGTACTACACTACACTTTCTTAATTATGTAAGGTGCATTTAGTTGATTCCTTAATAATGATACAGTTTCTACATTTGTTATATTTACTGCATAAATTGTCCTCCTTACACTAAGATATATAAAAGTGC